AGCAGAAGAAGGGCAAAAACATAAACGGTGAGAGTCACTAGGAAGACAGGAGGACAAARAGAATAGAAGTGTAAGCTCAGGGAATAAGGGAGGGAAATCAAAAAATGAAAGCTGACAGACTAATAYAGCCCATAAAGATCTGGAAAGTAATTACGCCTCTGAGTCAGAATCAATAAGGTTAATAAAATTCCCTCCTCTATCCTCACTGGAATAGATGAGGACATGGAAAAAAAATGCAGAAAACTTATTTTCACTGAAACTAGTGCCAAAGGTTTCCTGGTTTTCTGCTGGGGGGGACATCAAGCTTGGCTGCTACGTTAACACTTTCCTCTAATAACATGGTTTATGGAACAGCAGTGACTGTCAAGTATTCTGTAAAAGAAAGGCATTTCAACAACAAGATTAGACCAAGCATAAGCCTTACACTGTACTGGAAATAGCCAGTGAGCCAAACTAGACCGTGACAAACAGAAGATTAATCAAATTGCAAAGCCAAGAGTCAGAAGGCATTTTTAGCTTCATTTTTGCCCACCAGAAGTAATTAAACTGAGATGACTTTGGCATGCTGGAGACACATGCATGAATTCAAAGTACAAGAGACATAATAGCTCTATTTGTTGATTAGTATAAATTCACAAAAGGGGAGGGGCATCCAATTTCACTCAGAGGGCCAGAAGCAGACAGAGGGAATTAGTGGAAACAAGAACCAGTGTTTGTACAACATCTCCTGATGATCATGAGGGATATAACATCACTACATCCATTTAAAAAGCTCAACAGCCTCGACACATAATTAAATTACAGGGCACACAGATTAATTTCAGCTGTAGAAATAAAAGCAGCACAGGCAGCATTCCTCCCTGGAAACAGAAAGAATACAAGCTCACAGAGTACTGCTATGACCAGCCCTAACCATCACAGATTTGGAGAAAGCTGGAATGGTATCACCAAAATCTAAAAAGCAAGGTAAATACAAATTAGTCAAACACTCAATGTGCTAAAAAGGCAAGTTTATATCAATTATCTGCTTGTCAGAGAGAATGGGAACTCCCCAGGTGTGCCTTACAAGCTCAGTGAAGGAGAGGGTTTCACCAACAGGTTTTCAGCTGTGTCTGGTAGACTAGGATTTGTTACGTGTCAATAGGAAACAATGAATGGCACTTGAGAATAATCTGCCTGTACATGATCACCAAAGCAACAGAAGAGTGGAGACAGACATCACAACAGTGCACATCTGAGATGGAAATCCACAAGAGGTGTCAAAAGCCTTTGAAAACCGTGTCCATCAATTACTGGCCCCGTGCTTTAAAGCAATTAACAGGCGAGAATTCCCAAGCAGACACTTCAGCAAATCGATGTGAACTTCCAATTCAGATTGTACTTAAGTCTTTATAGATCTAACAGAGTTAGTGATTACTTCTTCTAAAGAGTTGGCCCATGCAAGGTTTGAACTTTCACTTACTGCCTCTGGAGTCACCAACCTGCTGACAGATGAGCACAGTAAATTCAGAGAGTGAACTTGCACTATTGCAGCCCAGCTCTGGAGTTTGTCATGCATCATCGATCCTCTCCTTCTCCTGCTCTTCCTGCACAGCAACACAGTTTGCTCCTTTAACTGTCTCCCCTGCCAGTTTATAAACTCCACATGCTGGAGAGAGCTGTGGGTGGAAGGCTGGAGCAGCATCCTTCAGTCCTGCCCACCAGGTCAACCTGCCACAGGCACCAGGATCCTGCTCAGGAGAGACTGCCCTTCCAAGAAACACCAGCTGGAGGCCAAGTGTCTGCTTGGGATGAGGTGCCCTGAAGGAATTTCTGACCTAACACAAAAAAGCAGTCAACCCATAGAACCACCCCAGGGTACTAAGAATGCCTGTCCTTACCAACAACTACCTCACCAGGAGCTTTTATTACATTAGCCACACTAAGCACTACCTCTTACCACCTTTCATCATTTTTGAGTTTATAATTTCAGGAATGACTTAGCTTTTGATTCTGAAGATGTAAGTGCATGSAAAAGTAAGCCTGTGGAAGCTTTTCCCAGGTCAGGATCTAAAGATTAAGAATTCCATGCARAGTTYGAGCTCCTTGTCCATCATGTGTCAYGAATACCCTTGTACCTCTAAAAATCCTTCAGAGCTGATGGAAGTGTTCAATTTGCAGGGAAAGAAAACTGTGTTGCTAAGGAACTGCAAAGGAAAAAAAGGCCAGAGTGTGGTAATCTGAAATGAAATTAATTAATTTAATTGGCCCTTGATATGTTGGGTATTTGGCACATTATCAGCAATTTAGCAGGCTTTAGGCTTTGTTTCAAACTTAGGCTGAAAGAATGGTCAGAACATGATTGCACACTTAATTTAGGGATTAGCTCCATTCTCTCTTCTCACACAACAGAACCCGGTTCATTTTTGCAGATTTCAGAAAAAAATTTAAAAGCAAACCACATAGATATCCGTTTAAACTATAGTTATGACKACAGTTATTGAGACTCCTTTTCTTTTAAATGAAGACAAAGGGTAAGGATTCTCTCCAAATTTATTCTCATTGGTAGACCAACAGATGTACTTTTGCAGCAAGTCCTGGCTTTCATGCTTTGCTCAGAGATCTCAGCCATGCACAGAACCAAATACCATTTCACGGATTTTTGTTTTGCAACGTTTTCACTTCAGGAAAATATTTTCAATTGTTTATAATCATTAAAGATTCCATACAGTGGAAGATTTTTCAAGTTCTCAACTGAGAATTTAACTTCAGTTATTTCAAAGAGCATTTAGTTTTCTTCCTTTTTTTTGAGACAGATACTTCTCTAGTGAAGTTTTTTTTCCTCTTCTTTTACCCTTCTCCTTCAATTTACTTAAATAGAAGAGAGTTATGACTGCAGAGACTATCTCTGATGTATTTACACCAGATTTGTTACCCATCTTCCAACCTAAGCTGTAGTATCATAAATGCCTGGTATTTATTAACATTCTCAGAGTCAAAACTCCAGCACCTCAATTGTTCAAGTTGTACTTTAACTTACAAGATGTCAGGTAGCAAAGTGACAACCTCACCTTCCCCCTCTCTCACTAAGATTTTGGGGCTGCATTGCAGAACAGTTTGGCTGATGAACTGGCTTTGCCACAYAGTTATCTCACAAAGTAACAACAGRCATCAAATWACAGTATCTAACAACAAAATKRTAACACTGTTATGTAACAAACAACAGGCTTTCATGCCTGGTTTAAAAGGAGCTGATTTATTGACCAAGCTGAGGTGTGTGAGCAATCTCCTCCTCACCCACCATTATCTCCTTGCATCCTTGCCAGTGCATTCCTTGATCTTCATTTGGTTGGCTCTTAAGGGTTGAATTTATTGGTTTTGCCATGCCTAGTTGATCAAATAAAAGATAAGAACTCTCCCTCAAAATTCCATTTGTTTTAACTTTCTTGTGATGGAGAATCACAAAACCCACTAGTTTTTCTTTAACTACAGTCTTTTTTATTCCTTGTAAATATCTAWTTTTATTGCTAGTTGAACACCATACAAGAAATATTTCCATTAACACAATGAGCTTTAGATACACAACCTAACTCCAGCTTCTAGTCCACAATTCAGACTCTTAAGCCTTTCTAAATACTGTTTTGGGCAGTTATTGAATAAAAACATTTAATATGCATTTCCATGTTTTTTGAGAAACACAAGTACAGCAGGTGAGAACTGCAGTGAAAGACACATCAATATGTGTGGCTATAAGAGATAGCATTGTATTACCATAGTTCTTTCATTCCTTTTTGGGAAATGCAAAACTGAAAGCCTTCAGAGAAAATAACACAGGTGCTGCCCCACTTCCTGAATTCATATCACATTTCACTCGTCACTTTTTGTAACAGAAATTAAGGACACAAAAAAAACCTTCTATGACAGATGAAATACAAGAAAAAGGTAGAAGTTTAAAGTAAAAAGTTTTCCAGCAGTATGCTTTTTCTGAAATCTCAAGGCACCCTTCACACAAGTGGATGGCACTGCCACTCACAGCTCAGCCTCTAGTGCTCCCTCTTCTGAGCAGCAAATAATTGTAGTGTACCAAGAGTGGTTCCTGTCCTCAAAATACTGCTTATAATGTTGTTATAAAGAGGATTCTTTCCTTTGAACTGTTTTCCATTTGTACAAGTGTTTTCCTTCTGAAGATTCTGTTTTTATAGTGCAGCTTTCCAAAGTTTCACTTTCCTACTCTGCTGTCCCCTAAAAAGCTCTTGAAAACCAGGCAGCCTACAGCCTAGGAAAAAGCATGTATGAGTTCACAAAAGGCTAYGAGGCCTTAGACATCACCAGATTATCAGCAGGAAGAGTTTCTGACCTACAATGTCCTCTGCCAAAACACTACTCTGTGAACCTGTCACTTYGTACCAGTCTGACCAGTAATTAGTGTCTGACTAGATGATGGTTACTTCAGAACAGACTTTCTATGTATTAACAGCTTTTATTGATGGATAAAASAGCATATTCCACTGTGCTCTCAAAGAGGTTACAAGGTCATTAGTTACCCCGAGAGCAGTAGCTGTCATTTGAGACCTTGTTGATTGCAAAAAGTATTATTTGCCTTACCCTTCCTTGCTCTTCCAGTGCCAACAGAGCCAGCATTCACTGCTAACCTGTTTCCCTGCCTTGCAGAACCACTCAGGGTAGTCTGGGAGCTCAAAACTCAGAAGCAGACAGATTGAAGACATTCACTTACTTGAACTCCTCCACAAGGGTCTCACCTACACTGGAAATACGAATCAGRGAATTCAGGCAGGGGTGGGAGTTTRAWAAAGAACMYAGATGACCTGCACACAGARAGCTTAGAGAAGGGAAAGAAAACAGATTCCAGATGCTGGCCCCTGTAAGCCATTTCTAAATGGCTGAAGTCATTCATTTTTCAAGGTACCAAGGTAGCACCCATCACACCCTGGTGATAACAGCTGCTGACACAGAATGTTACCAATGGACAGGGTGAGGTGGAAGGACACAGCCATGCTCACCGTGCACACAGAGGCTTCATCCCCAGTCTTTACTCTGTTCCGAACCAGCAGCTGCTCCAGGAGGCTGAGTCTGTGCAGCAGCCAGGAAAATGCCAGCAGCAGCTCCCGACTTCCTGCGGAGCCATCGGCCGGGAGCTGATGGAGCTCTGGCCTGTCATAGCCGTGGTACCACAGCGCTGACTTCACAAACCTAATTTGGGTCTCTGAAAAGAACAAAACAATTGAGAATAACACACTGCACGCAATGCATTTRTCCATTCAGTTCCAGAAATTGCTGCCTCCTCTGAGAGTAATGTTTTTAATCCAGCCTCAGGAAGACAGCAGGGACTTAGTCTTTATCAACAACTAGTGCAGGACAGGAGGCAGAGGGTAAAAGCCTTTTTTATGTTGCCCCATTCCGATTACAGGAACTACTGCTCAGGGAAAAGAAGAAATTCAAAGTTGAGATCAAGACCAGTAATGGTCTCCTGGAAAGTTAACAAAGGTAACAACAGTAACTAGCCTTCCCCTCTAGAACAGGGTTCCAATTCACCTATTCATTTTTTATGAGTCACCAAGCATGCTATGAATTAGTAAACACTCTGAATCACTTTACTCCTGAACTAAACTGGAATTTAGAGATAGGAGTTTCACAGCCTGCTGCAAATCTCTGAGCACCAGTGAGCAGAGATAATGCAGCCCAGCACATAGGCTATTAAATTCTTGGGAATGCTCTGATCCATATTCCTTCACACCAGCAAATGTTACCTGACAGGTACAAGACATGCACTGCAGGACTGTAAAACACTGAGGAAACACAGAGAAAGTTGTTATTATTTAAAAAGATTCTGCCCAGTAAGCCTTGGCTCTGTACTAAGTCAAACATAGAATAAAGAACGTAATTAGGGGGACAATGAAAACAACACACACTGGCTAAGAACCAATAGTTGTAAAAGGAAGACCTGATCAAAAAGTTTCTGGAGTTCTCCAAAGGCAAAAAAAGAAACAAATGATTAAGGAAAATTCAACCAATGCAAGACATTTAGACAGCCCAGTGGGATTCAGCTCRCACAAAGAAACCAAGGCACTGCAGTGGAGGGAGAGGAAAAGCCCTTGAATCAATGACAAGTGCCCAGCAGACGAGAACCAGAGGGCAGGAACAAATAGTGGTTTCACATGAGGGCTCTGTGCTAAACAGCTGCTGTTCAAACAACTCAAAATGACACTTGGACAATGTGACAGTGACAGAAAACTTGGTGCTGATGTGATATTAGCAGTAAAGAATGCAGGCAGATCATGAAGGACTGCAAAACCTTGAGCCCAAGCTTTAAAATGACAGATAAAAGTATTTTTAGAAAAAAAAATGAAAAATTATGTGCACAAAGAAAGAAATGTTCCTAACTTTACTRACATAAGAATGGGCCTGGAACTGATCAGTGGACGCAGGAACACAATCTTAGATGATAAGGTTTTTAATGACACTATCACAATTGGCTCTGACAGGCATCCAAAAGCAAACTCAATGTGAGAAACCTAGAAAGGACAGTAAACAGGACACAAATACCCACCATGACCCTCATTTCTTCACTCCCATAAAGGCTACAGAAGATCTGGAAAGAAATAAAGAGAAAGCACAAGTACAATCACAAGTACAGAACAGCCGCAGTGTAAGAACTGGTGAAGTAGGCCAAGATGATCAAGAATGGATATGACAAAACTCTTCAAAATCATGAGTGCTGTGCAATGGATGAAGAGTGGATAATTTGTTTGCACAACATTCAGTACAAGAACTGTGAGCCATAAAAGTTAGCAAGCATGTGAGTCAAAACAGGATAAAAGAAATGCTCTTCACACACGTAACAAAGTTCTGAAATTTCTCACTGTGGGACACTATGGACTCTTAAGAATCATAAAGGCTCAAGGAGGAACTGGAYTGACAGAACAGGAGATCATGTAAACTCACGAAACACAAATACATCCTCCCTGGATTGGGAAGTCTGAGATGTAAATTAGTAGAGGCTGAAAGAATATTCCCTCACCCTGTGAAAGCATCATTCTAGATTTGCTCTTTCCCCTGGGCATTCACTTTGACAGCTGTCACAGCTGGATGGAGCTAGAGCAATCTACAATTTGATGCAGTTTAGGCATTCTTAGAAAGAAAAAGACCKAAATCATTCAATTTGCTCTTTCCACAGAACCTGTAATGAAATGAGCAGCTCCCCTTCCCCACGTTAGGGTGGCAGAAATGCCTATGGCTTCCTAAAAATCCTGCAGTAGATAAGCACTCCAATCCCTCAAGCACAAGAGGAGCACAGAGATATCACAGATTTTATTTTGATCCCTCTTGAACATTCTTACATGAGCAMGGTTTTCATGTTGTCCTTTCCTTTTTTGTGTGCATTTGTCAAGAAAGGAACTGCTATAACAGGTAAAGGCAGAAACACTCCAAAAGGAAKGATGATCAGTACATGCTTTCCTCCTTTTTCAAAGCAAACAAGCATCACATGCTGCCATCTGCAGTTCAAGGAGCTCCTCAAAAAATCACATATCAAAGTGGAGGAAAGGAGAGCAAGTTCTTTCTTGGTGTCTTTTCTCTTTTATCACCATTTCCCTGCTCTGATATATCACTCACATTAGACCCACTAAGGCAATTCACCAACTGAATTTCTGTGTTATTCTGGTGCTTTATCTCCCCTTATTTCATGTCTTGCTCTGCAACACACTGCCCTCACAGGAGAGGGTGCAATTGGTGTGTCAGGCAGGAATTGGGAGTGCCCAAAGCATGGATCTGGACACAGGGCACTAAGAGCTYTCCCATGACTTAGAGAAGTCACTTAGCTTTCCTCATCTCTACTAAAAGGCAACAGTGATAAATGGCAGTAAAGGTTATTTAAGTACCCGGGACCAAGATGGATTCCTCTGTAACACATAACCAAGAGAGAGGAAAAAACATCACTCAGATAGCAGATAACACCAGACACTCAGATGCTTCTTTAACATCTTCTTATGGCATTTCATTAGGATTAGGCAATTTATASACAAAGATCCACAAAGGCCTTCCAATTAATCCCCTTCTCCACAGGCATTATTTATRAAAGTATATTCAGCAAGTAAGACCACCAAGCTGGGGATGAACCTCAGGGTTCAGCTCACTTAAAACTACATTCAAGCTGTGCTCTTCCACTATGAGACCTGACATATTTTCAGTGGTTTACAAGATGATATTCAAATAAGGGCTATGAATTAGCCTGGCAGGCTAAAATGGAAAGGAACTATAAAACAAGTGTAAGATACATTACCTCATGCACTCAGGCAAGAAACACCTGCACAGGTAGTGGTATTATGGGAAACTACTGCTTCAGGATAACATTTTCTGCTACATTTGTCAAACAAACAAAAATAYATTGCAGCTCCAGACCTCTCTCCTGTACTATAAAAACTGAACAGCAATTCCAGAAAAGAAATGTTTTCTCCAACTATCCAAATGCATATTGCACTGCTACCTGGTGTGGCTGTCAGGTTGTTAACCATGTTCATCAGCCTCTGTGAAGAACGAGCAGCATGAAACCATTAATCATGATCTCATCTCCAAGGTTATGCCTGGAGTACCATCACACATCTTGCTCTCACTCTCCACTGTCCAGAGACCCACTGCTGTGATATGTCTAAGAGGCTGGAGTTTACAAAGTAATTTTACACCAAAGTTTACAGTGCTTTTCACTGTGTGAAGAAAAAGTTCTCCCAAAACAAGAAACTAAGAGCCAGTTGCAGAATTCTGTAACCACTGACTGGCAGGTTTCAGCAGAATTCCTGAACCACCCAAAGATCAATGTTTCCTTTGGAAAAATAAAGGACACAAGACCACTGGAGAATGGCTTCTCTTTTCCAGAAAGCTGTCTCTATGCAGACAGTAACTCCTATACCAAAGGAGTCTTCACAGACTTCCTCTGGGATCTGGCAACTGCTGCTGTCCCTGTTTTAACTGAGGTAATTAAGAGGTTGTGCAAAAAGAGCAAAGAAAAGGAAGGCTTGATCTGTGGACTAATGCACTAGACTTGGATTAGAGGAATCTGTTTCAATTCTCTATTGTACAACAGTATCCTGTACAAACCTGAGAAAGTTATTTAATGCCTATGCCCAAGGCTTATTTCATTTGCATTAAATACACAAGAGACCAGAGCTGGGGCAGAGAAGAAAAGCAGCAAAATATTGATTGTGTTCAGAGCAGACAACTCATTCACTTGCCAAGCAAAAGTAATTAGTGTCATTCGAAAAACACTACAGCTCTCCAGCCTGAATTTCAGCTTTAATCACCAAGCTGGGACTAAAGAGGTTTCTTAGAAATCAGCCAAGCAGTTCTGAGCAGAACCACACATTGCTACCTCACAATACACCAGGGGAGGCTGTGCTTGCTCTCCCAGGAATTCTGTCCCCAAATGCTACAGGCAATTAGTATGGGAGCAGCCAGGATCCAATAAGGTTGCACATGTGCAGGGCCACATCCACAATGCTGCAGGAGACAGTCAATAAATAGACTTGCCATGCAGAGCAGAYTGCGGATGAGTGGAAAAATAAAAACAGTCAAATGAAAAATAGCAGTCTTGTGAGTAACAGGACTTCCTGCTGTGCTACCAGAAGAACTATGCTGGTTTTGCTCTGCATTCCACAGTGCTTAACCTTTTTWAATTCCATTTACAGAGCCACCAGAGTCCCAGCTATTTGAAACAGTGTTGTTTAGGGTGTTTTGCTCTCAAAGGCAAAAGTGAATTTCTGGTTTTGGTCTAAGAAGACCTTGATTCATCACAATACAATTTTCATACAATGAAAAGGCCCTAGACAGACATGTTTCAAGAGAGAGGACAGGGAGCAGCGTTCTATTTGGAATAACATATATTTAATAAGGAAATAGTCTTCTGGTATTGTGAGAAGGCAACCTGCATTCAGCTCCTCTCTGGAGGAGTGGCCCTAAAGACATTCACAGTCCCCCTAAAATAATCAAACACACTCTAGTTCTTGTTTTGTCTAGAACTTCAATTCAAAACACTGCCTTTATGGTTCACATGTTGCAATTCATGGCTCTGATACAGGACTGGATGGAAAAGCACCAACAGAATCATGTGTGGAATGGGAAAAGAAGGAATCAAAGAAAAAGCAAATCTACTTCGGTAACCATCTCTGCAGATACTGAGAATGCATAACATCACTGCAGTGATTTACCTGCAATAAAACACCAAAGGGAGGCAAGAGCCTGTGGAACATCCCAGTTTCCAGGACAGAGCAAGTCAAAGAGGAGCAAACCAGCCTCACACTACATTTACTYATCACTGCAGCTGATGCCCAGTACRTTGGTGGCACTGGTTGTCAGGTGTTGAAAACAGAGCACTCATGACAGGCAGCAAGGAGCCAAAGGTGCTACAAMACCAGTCCCAGTCTTTCCCTARGGTARRTGGAAATCACAGTCAGCCAGACTGAGCAGGTTACCTATGGCATCAGACTCTGTCCACCTGCCTCCATGGATCTGTTTCAGAAGCACATACAGCAGCCTCCAGAAATCCAGGCTCTGCAAAAGAGAGAGGTGGAGGGGSGATCAGCAGGCAAAATATTTGTTTAGCCTTAATTAGGCAATTAAGCCCATAACAGAATATCACACATGGAGCAGCATGGATCTGCATCCAGCCAACACCATCTGATCAGGCAGGTTCATGTATAACCTGTCTCATGAACACAGAACCTACAGAAAGGTGCACTCAGAAACAAAAGGGCTAATGCTGGCTGTASAGCAAGACCCAGCACGTGTAGAGGAGCACAGCTCCCAAAATCTGCTCTGRTACAACCCCACATGGCACAACTCACCCGTAGTCAAACAACTGAACACACTGGTAAGATCTGGCCACSATAGTGTCAGAAACTCACAAACGAGAGGCAGCACAAAATGAGCTGGAACTGGGAATCATTTCTTGGCCRCACAAGGGCAGCATGCTGACAAACTCAAATAGTGATTCTTACAGCTGGAATTTCAGGCAACACTCRTAAAATCCTTAAAATAGCTGAGGAAGGGAGGTACCCTGCGTGCCAGCTGGAGGACTCGGAGGCAAAGCAGCGAGACCCAAGCTGGGGTACAGCAAAGGGCAATAAACCTCAGGTGACACTGAAAAGGCGTTGCAGACCAGGATGAAACACCAAGCCTTTAGTTAAAACCACGGTAAGATAAACCGCTTCCCAGAGCAGCGGGAGTGCTGAGTTCCCTAACAGGTGTCAGCTGGGACCACATCAAAGTGGGACCACGCCAAAGGTGCCTATCCCCAGGCTCAATCCCCCTCGCATTGTCACCCAGACCCTGTCCCCGGGCCCAGCCCCACTCGGGTGTCCCTGTGCCCCGCCGCACGACACGGCGGAGGAGCGGGCGGGGTGTCGGGGTGGAGCTGCCGGCGCTCACCGCCTGCGGCCGGTCGAACCTGGCGCGGCGCAGGGTGTCGGGGGCGGGCCGGGCGCGGGGCGGCAGGGCCCTGCACAGCGCCCCGACGGCGGCGGGCAGCGCCCGGCCCTGCTCCCGGCCCTGCTCCCGGCCCTGCTCCCGGCCCTGCTCCCGGCCCTGCTCCCGGCCCCGCTGCTGCCGGGGCTGCTCCCGCTGCCGGCCCCGCATCTTCCCGCCGCTAGCGCCCTCAGCCGGAGCGCCCTTCCGCCCCGCCCGCCCGCTGCCGCGCCCCCTGGCGGCCGGGAGGACACACTGCGGGCACGCCGGTGCTGTCCCCGCCTGACTCCCGGATCCCCCTGGATCCCCCCGGATCCCCCCGGATCCCCCTGGATCTCCCGGACCGCGGATGGTCCCGTGATTTATTCCGCCTGCGGGCATAGTTGGGGACAGAGAACACTCCTGGCCTCCCCTGGGCACTGACTCGCAAATGAGAGGGACGCGCCACACATGTCACCTCCCACTGGTCACACGTGTCCTGAGCCATGGACGCCCCTCCTGCCCCGGCAAAAAATACACGGGCAAGCCCTGCAAACCTCCCTCTTCATTCCTKGTGGACAGAGCTGTTGCAAAACCGTGCTTCGGCTCTTCCAAAAACACAGCTCTTCTGCAGTCAGAACAGCTCCTCGGATCATGGGTTTGGCAGCATCAGGTATGAGGATATTCCTGCCTGCCTATTGCTCAGTGGGGTTTGATGCGGCCAGCTCAGATCTCCAGGCACACAACCCCTTAACGAAACAATCCCAGGGATTAATCCTTGGGGGAATATCGGGGAGAAAGGGATCAGCTGTTTGGGAGCAGCCTGAGATCCTGAGAGAAGTCCACCCATGGCCAGGATTTACAGAACCAAAACCTGGCACAGGGATGGATTCCTGCTGTGGATTTGCAGAGGGAGCACAACTGGTCTGTGCCAGGGACAGGGGTCTGCTCTGCCAGCGCTGCGGGGATCCTGTCTGTGCCAGGACATGAGATCTGCTGGAAACCCCCACTGATGGTTCCTTGGCCAGTTCCCCAGTTCACGGCCCATTTCATGTGCTCACTATGGATCTAGTGTGATGCCTTCACTTTTTTTTTTCACCAGTATCTGAACAACATGAAACAACATGTGAAATTCCTTCCCGCTACASAGCAGCCTCTTGCAGCCAAATGGCTGCTTGCAATGAGGAGAGAAATCACAGTGGTCCAAAGAGACCTCCAGCCAACGTGAACTGCGTTTGCACTTTTTCCCTCTGGTTGCTCCCCTCCTGCCTCCCACCCCYGTGCTGGGGATCACAGCCCTTTCCAACGCTGAGCGCTGCTCCAGAGCTCTCCCATTCCTGTGGATCCTGGCTGCTGCTCCAGCCAGCCCTGAAAGGACCCCTGGGTGTGAGTTATCCAGGCTTAAGGATTTTTTAAATATCTTCTCTAGCAGCTGTTGTCTCATATCCTCCTTTCCTAATGGCCTGGAAAGCATTTTCCTTATCCCTCATCCAGTTCTAGCTCAGCAATCTGTATCCACCTCTTTGCTCTGCTYCCTAACAGGTTTGGCATCACCCCATGGTTCCTTGCCTTGGTTTCCARCAGCCCATAAAGTCCTTTTTTTATTGCAGAGGGCCTTATCGAATCTGGACACCCCTCTGCTGTCTTTGGCACCCTTCTTGCCTTTCYGTACCTTGCTGCTATCGGGCGCTGTCTGGTCCCTCCATGACACATGGCTTGTCTGTTTTCCCATCCCTGCTGCAGTCTCTGTTCAGGAGGACCTTCAGCTGGAGCCAATTTCCTGTGTTTTCTTGACCACTCCATAAACCCCGCTCAAAGCGATCCCTGTCCCCACACACATTCCTCTGTCTAGGCTTTTCCTCCGCGGGGCAGCTGCCGAGACAGGGGCTCTTCTGCATCACCCAGTGCACGCACAGGGAGGGGTTCTGCCCGTCATCCTCCCCTGCTCTCCTGTCCCCCAGCCACCACACCAACCCAGGCCAGCCAATGTCACCACTCAGCACAGCAGCAGCAGCTGGGATCCGCTGAGAGCCACCTCTCCATCCCTCCTGGCCATTGTCCCCGGTTCCCTGCCATGGCTCCCCCGGCACGCAGCCCCGTGGGCGCAGCTGACACGGRACGCCTGGCGCTGTGAGGGCTGRCACACAGCCACGGGCGAGCCRGAMKCCATGCTGGCCATCCCAGCCCGTCYGGCGCGGCTTCTCAGGCCCGGMGTGYRAGGCCCCACTTATCTGCAGWGCCGGCTGCCTGGGCGGCTTTCCCAGGGTGGAGAAGCCCATGGGAAGGCCATGGTTTCCTGCTGCAGAGATGGACGGGCTGTGTGCTGTGGACAGATGAAAGAGGTGATGCTGTGACAGCCCCCGGAGTGCTGTCCCAGCAGCAGAGCACAGACCACCCTCACGTCCCCTATCCCAAGCGCCAGCCCCATGAGGACTGGCAGATGGAAACGAGCAATGGCTGGCTGACATCAGCACACATCCCTGGTGTCATGGTGGAGATTGGAAGCCTCCGGGGCCCTGTCTGTGGAAGGGGAAGCAGGGCAGAACTGTTTCATTTGGGGCGAGTATGGCAGCAGGGGCCGCAATGGGAAGGGAAAGTCCAGGCACTTACTGAGGGGCCAGGGATGCTTTTCCCGGGAGAGGCCACTGGACTTTGCCCTCTCTGCATTCCCGGGCTCCCGTGGTTCCACACGGCCACACAGCCACCCGCTTTCAGCACCGTGTGTCAGCTGCGGTCATTTCCGCGCCGGGTGACTCAGTGGGGCCAAGGGCGCCTGTTTGCACCCGTGCCATGGCAACTCGCCACCACACAGGGCCTGCTGGGCACGCAGGGCTGCCAGAGATGATGACGGCAGCCCTGTCCCATTGCCTCATGCCGATTGTATGCGATAGCAGCCATCCCTGCCCGCTCCGGCAGCAGCGCGGCTTCCTGATGTCACCTCGGCCCCGCTCTGCCAAGGGGAAGGTGTGAGCTCTCCTCCTAGAAAAACAGCTCCTTTGGTCTTTGGGGTTTTGTTTTTTTTCTTAATGCTTTTATCCCCGTGAAGGCGCGGGCGGGAGCCAGCCTGTCTCATGGCCAGGCCCCCAGGCCAGGCATCAGTGCTTCCCACGCTCCACTGCCAGCTCGGGTGGCCCGAGTTCCTCGCTCCTCTCCTTCCCCTGTCCTTCCCCTCTCCTTCCCCTGTCCTTCTCCTCTCCTTCCCCCCATGTGCTATCTGCTGAGCAGCCATCAGAGCAGAGCACAGCTTCCCTCCCTGCCTGCTCGATGGAGGCCTTGGCTGGCCGGAGCGTTTCATGTGCTGAGCAGATCAGGCAGGCCGCATCACTTTCTGTTGCAAACATTTCCAGATCCAAACATTTCCAGCTCTTTCCCCATGCTCTCCCAGCCCTTTTATGCACTCTCACCCTTCCCTCACTGGGACATCAGGTTAGCCAGAGTGGGAAAAGGCAGGACCTGGCAGCACAGCCATGATGCTGGCAGAAGGGAGCCGAACAAGCACAGGGCTGTGAACACAGATTGCTGCATAGATGGGCTGCAGCAGCTCTGTAATGACTCCATGAACGTGCAGGTTTTCCTGCACACAGGCAGTCCGTCTGCAGCAGGCCTGTGTGTGGGCTGTGGGCGCAAAATTGAAGGTCAGCTCCCAGCATGTGGATGTTTGAGAGAGGCGTTGGTGTTTCAGGCCCTCTGATGCAGGGCTTTCAGTATGATGAGTAGGGAAGGATCAGAAAAGACATCTGAGATCTCAGCAGCTCTGTTCTCAGGAGTCTCACCCTTTTAACTGTAATAGCCAAGCTGACGTTCCTCTGCACAGACGGAAGGAAACTCCCTCTGACCTCTTCCCCCAGGACCTTTAATACAAAGCTCACCARAAGAAGACAGAAGCTTCAGTGGGAAGTCCTTGAACCCTTCCCTCTTGGAAACTCTCCCTGTTTCATTGGAAATAAGAGGTGTGAAAATAAACCCAGCCTGAGTGTCTGATGTCAAGTTTTCTGCTTGCGCTCCTTGCTTGGGAAAGCCACCCAGGACGTGGCAAACATCCCCTGGGCTTTCTGCACCCAGCTCCTCCCCAGCCCTGCATCACCAGCAGCAGGAATGGGGTGAGGGTAGAACAGCCTCCTCTCCTTGCTCCCTCAGTTTCCAGTACCCCAGTTCATGGTCCTGTTCATTTCTCATTATGCCCCTGGTTGTCACACCCAGAGTCCCTCTGCCTTCAGTATCATCAGTGTTTTATGGAGATGTTGTTCCCCATCAGGAACAATCTTTGTCCCCACTTTCCTCACCTCTGCAGAGCTGTTTCCGTGGGGTTCCCCAGCCCGCTGTTTTGCAGAGCTGGGACGGGAAGTCCCGTCTCACCACAYGATTGTGCAGAGCTTCTGCTGCCTGACTTCAGCTGCATGCTCCCTCTTGCCACGCTGTCTGGATAAGCAGGCAGATTTCTGAGGTGTTAGGAGATGGGCAGACACTCTTTTGACCTAAAATATAGCAGAGCTCTGTGGGCTTAACACGAATCAGCCTTAGAAATACCCAAAGCAGTGTGCACTGGATACCACCCAGSCACAGGCTGCCTTCAACCCCGTGAGCCCTGCACAGCAAAAAGCAGGAACACCCTGCAGCCACAGCCCCAGTGCCACTCTCCCCCAGCCCTKCCTTCACCCTAGCTGTCCCTGAAGGGACAAAGCTTTATTTAGAAAAACACATTGCAGGGCAACAAACCGCTGCCACCCCACAGCAGGTGCCCTGACCACATCCGTGCTGAGGCAGAGCCTGCGTGGATGAGGCACAAAACCACCTCGGGGGAAATGCCAATCGGGTCACATCAATGTCCCCATCAGTGCTGGCAGGAGAGCGTGAGTGGCCCAGTTGGTGCCCYAGTGAGGTGGCACTGAACCAGGCACCCAACATGTGTTAGTGCAGATGTGACCTGAGGCCTGCAGCCATACTGGCAGGACAGAGCTCTGTCCAGGGGCCGAGCCTGCTGCTTTCCCTAAGGATGACCCTAAGGAGGGCCCTGCTGTAAGGCTTCCAGCCTGAACCATCCCCCTTGCCAGCTGCAGGCACAGGGACACATCTGTGCCCTGCTTCAGATTATGGTCTGTCAATCTGAGCTGAGAGAAGGACACAGGGTTAGATGACCCAAACTGGCCCCTCCTGCCTGCACTGTCTGATCCAGCTCCCTTTCTGCCCCTTCT